CTTTGAGTCAAATTTGATGAGAGTAAAGTTCAAACAATGCTCACCCCTTCCCTTCTTTCCCTCTACTGTAATAGGTCTTTCTTGCTTCTTCATGTGGTATAATTTACCCCATTCAGCCTCCCACTTTCCTCTTCTCTCAACACTATCATTTCTTTTTTTTATCCACTAATTAATTTTTGTAATCATCACATCAAAGTCAACTTACACCCACACACTCTGTCTAAACATACTCCTTCTAACTGCCTTAATAGAGCTACATTTCTTAAAATTTACAAGTATCATCTTCCCATGTAGGGATGTAAACAGTTTAACCTTACTGAATATTATGTTTTTTTTCCTTTCCTGTTTACCTTTTTATGCTTCCCTTGAGTCTTGTATTTGAAGATCAGATTTTCTATTCAGCTCTGGTCTTTTCATCAGGAAAGTTTGAAAGCCCCCTATTTCATTGAATGTCCATCTTTCCCCCTGAAAGATTATGCTCAGTTTTGCTGGGTAGTTGATTTTTGGTTGTAATCCAAGCTCTTTTGCCTTCCAGAATATCGTATTCCCAGCCCCCTAATCCATTTATGTAGAAGATGCTAAGTCCTGTATAATCCTGACTATGGCTCCTTGATATTTGAATTGTTTCTTTCTGGCAACTTGCAGTATTTTCCCCTTGACCTGAAAGTTCTGGAACTTGGCTACAATATTCCTCAGAGTTTTCATTTTGGGATCTCTTTCAGGAGGTGATCAGTAGATTCTTTCAATGACTATTTTACCCTCTAGTCCTAGGATATGAGAGTAGTTTTCCTTGATAATTTTTGAAAGTTGCTCTCCAGTCTCATAGGATTTGGCTTACAGAAGGAATAACATACACATTCAATTGGATACGGAAATCTGTCTTACTCTACAGGAAAATAGGGGGAGAAGGAGACAAGAGAGCAGGGGAATGATAGAGAGGAGGGCAGACTGGGAAAGGGGGTAATCAGAAGCAATACTTCTGAGGATGGACAGGGTCAAAAGAAAGAATAAAATAAATGGGAGGGCAAGATAGGATTAAGGGAAACAGAGTTAGTTTTTCACAACATGACTACTATGGAAGTGTTTTGCATAACTGCACATGTATAACCTATATTGAGTTGCTTGCTTTTTCAATAAGGGTGGGTGGGGAGGGAGGAAGGGAGAAAATTTGAAACCTAAAGTTTTAAAAACATATGTTTACAAAAAATGTTTTCACATGCTACTGGAAAATAAGAAATACAGTAGATGGGGTACAGAAGTCTATCCTGCCCTACAGGAAAATGGAAGGGGAAGGGGATAAGAGAAGGGGGTAGAGAGATAGAAGAAAGGACAGACTAGGGGAAGGGATATTCAGAATGCATGCCATCTTGGGGTGGGGGCAGGGGTGAGATGGGGTGAAAATCTGGAACTCAAAATCTTGTGGAAGGGAATGTTGAAAACTAAAAATAAATAAATTTTATATTAAAAAAAAAGAAAGAAAGTTGCTGTCCAGGCTCTTTTTTTTTTTTTGATCATGGCTTTCAAGTGGTCCATTAATTCTTAAATCATCTCTCCTGAACATATTTTCCAGGTCAGTTGTTTTTCCAGTGAGGTATTTTACGTTTTTTTCCTATTTTTTCATTCTTTTGATTTTGATTGATTCTTGATGTCTCATAGAGTCATTAGCTTCCACTTGCCCAATTCTAATTTTTAAGGAATTATTTTCTTCAGTTAGATTTCATATCTCCTTTTCCATTTGGCCAGCTCTATTTTTTAAGGAGTTGTTTTATTTAGTCAATTTTTGTGCTTCCTTTTCCAAGCTGTTGACTATTTTTTTTCACAGTTCTCTTGTGTAACTCTCATTTCTTTTCCTAATTTTTATTCTACCTCTCTTACTTGATTCTTAAAATCTTTTTTGAACTGTTCCAAGAGGACTTTTTGGGCCCGAGACCAATTCCTATTCCCCTTTGAGGCTTCGCATATAGGCATTTTGACATTGTTGTCCTGTTCTGAGTTTCTGTTTTGATTTTTCCTGTGGCCATAGTAGCTTTCTGTGGTGAGGGTTCTTTTGTTTTTGATCATTTTTAAAAGTTAAGCTTTGCTCCTGGGGTGCAGGGGGTACTGTTCCAAGCTTCTTACATAGGGGACCAAGGGCTTGGTCACTGGCTTTTTCTGCTGGGGCCTCTAGTACTGATGCTTTGCCCACCGCACTGGTCTGATCTAGTGGTGCCCATTGTGCCTTGGGGTTCAAGACTGGCAATTTGCTTGCTGCTCTGGGCTCCAGGCCTAACACCTGGCCAGAACCAGGGAGCCTCCACTACTAATCTGTGCTGTTGTTAAGAGCCTCCTGCTGGCTTACCCAGACACCACTTGCTCTGGGCCACATTCCCCTTTTACGCAATTGAGAGAAACCTTTCCTAAAGTCCTTCTAAATTATCCGGGGCTAGAAAATTGTTTCACTCTATCTTTTGTGGATTTTTTATTCCAGAATATTTTTAGAAGCTTGATTTAATGTTGTTTCTGAGCGGAACTAGGGAGAGTTCAGGCGACTTCCTAGCTTCTCTCTACCATCTTGGCTCTGCCCCTCAGTTCCAGTTTCTTGATCTGCAAAATTGGGACACTATAGCCTCAAATTCATGGGGCTATTGTAAAGATCAAGTGAAACAATATATGCAAAGTACTTTTAAAGCGTGAGGTATTATACAAATGATAGCTGCTATTACTATTGTTGTTGATAAATACTTGTTGCTAGCTTGAAGTAGGTTAAAAGCGTTACGTAGACTAAACCAGCAATGGTTGGATAAAATAACATGAGATCAGAAAAGAAAGTGGGCTGGCTATACTTGTATCAATTTTTTCACCAGGAAGAATGAAGATGATATAGTTCCTTTACTTTACAGAGTTATTGTTAGGAAAAACACTTTGCAAAATGTTATGGGTGATGTCTTTTGATTTGTGCATAAATTGTATTTAAGTGAGGCAGAGTTAAACAAAGTCACAGGCCTCACTCTCTTCCCCAGAGTCATCATAGTCCAGTGGCAAGACAGAGTCAAGATGACTGGTGATGGCCCAGAATGCAGTGGATGACCTTAGCCGCTTCAATGTGTAACCAACCTCTAAGCACTCCACAGCACCTGCTTCAGCTGCTTTCATGACCATTAGAAGAAATTGTTCTCATCTGCCCATTCCAGGGGAATTCTTCACATGCTCACGGTGGATGTCCCCCAACTCTCTGACAGGTTTGAGACCCCCTCCGTTATCCTCAACCTGGTTTAGTCCATCTGCCAAAACAGTTTATCAGGGTGTGGCTGCTGTGCGTGCTATAGCTTTTTGGAGACACGGTGGTAGTTAGGTGGAGCAGGTGGACCTCAAAAGTGGAAAGTAGCCCCAAAAGGGGCTTGGCAGCCCTCACCACAGAGGTACTAGTCTTCTCTGAATATACCCTACACAAACACCTTGTAAACATTATGGTACAAGATAAGATCTAACAGATGGCTCAAAGAGTTCACTGAAACTCAGAAGATATTAAAACAGGGGTCTTTAATCTAGTGTCTGTGAAATTTTAAAAAATATATATTTTGATAATTATATTTCAACATAGTTTCTTTTACAATCCTGTATATTTTACTTTATGCATTTACAAACATTATTCCTTAGGCTTCTTTGTTGTTGCTGTTCAGGAGTTTTCAGTCATGTCTGACTCCTCATTAACCCTTGTGGAGGTTTTCTTGGCAAAGATACTACAGTGATTTGCCATTTCCTTCACCAGATCATTTTACAGATGAGGAAAATGAGGCAAAGAGAGTTAAGTGCCTTGTCCAGGGTCCCACAGCTAGTAAGAATCTGAGGCCAGATGAGTTTTCCTGACTCTACACCCGGTATTCCATCCACTTTGCCACCTAGCTGCTGGTTTGGTTTCACCAGACTGCCAAAGGACTCTGCAACCTGCCCTCTCCTCCAGAAAAAAAAGGAAAAGGAGATGCTACATTAAAAGAAATGAAGGAAGGCCTTCAGTGCTTTACATGTATCCTTTGTGAAGGATTTACATAAAAGCATCAGTAAGGATGAGAAAGCATAAGAGGTTGTAATCAACATAGCATGATGAGAACACAGATCTATCTAAGCATTCCCAGGTTTTCCGCTACATTCCCATATGTGAATTCCCATCCCCAGCCCAGGGTAATTTTTTTTTTATCTCTTGGGTGGTTAATTTTATTGGTGAAAACTTTCTTCTGAATTTCTTTTCATTAGATGTTTCAGCAAAACACACCAAGGCTCTTGAGTGTGCCCTCCCAGGACACAACCATACCTAACAGTATGCTACTTCTAGGCTTCATTAAGCTCAGCTAGGACAGCCCCCTTCGATCCCCTCAGTACTCAAATTAAAACTTTTTAAGAAAATTATCTGGGTACTGACACACAGGAGCTATTTAGTTAAATAGTTAAATAGATTAGTTAATCTCAAAATCCCATTCCGGTGACCCGATAAGGCTGTCCAAAGTATACCAAATCTGAATCAAAGAGCCGTAATAAAACATTCATATTTGCATACTTTCAGTTTAGCAAAAATCACAAGCCTATTTAAAACCACTGAAGCCTCATGCAAATAAAAATAGTATTTGAAGAGAAATTTTGGCTATTTAATGCCAGCCTGAGACCTGTTATTCTTTTCCTTTTCTCATTAATTACTCCACGATAACTTTTCAACAGCATGATTTACGGAAGCCACTTTAAAGCAGATGTCCTTTAATAAGAGCAAGAGAAATGACGATTCTGTTTGAATCATGGGGAGACTTAGTATTGTTTCCCCCTAACTCCATTATGAGTATTGCCCAAGATAAGTTGAGACAAGACAATAAATTGTAAATGTAGACAATCTCTTCCCTCTGTCCATAATCAAAGAAAGTAATTGATAATAATTAATAGTACCAGTCCTGCATCCCAGCTCAGTCAAATCCAGTGATTCAGAATATTTGGCAAAACAAGTTATTACAGATGCCACACTGTGGCTGTTAACTTACAACATTCACTATGTTCTTTTGCAGGTTGTCCTGGCTTATTCTTCACCACGGAGATTTTTCAGAAGTTGCTGGATTGCTCATAGGCTCAGGTTCCTTTTCTCTTTCATAAGAAAGTGAGAAAACCCTAAGTTGAAATGAACAGAAAGAAAGAAAAAAAAATCAGAAAGAGGAGTACGCATTAAATTACTTATTATCTGAGCAGATATATATTCTTCCCTATTTTAGCTGGGCTAAATAACATTTCAGTGGAGTCCAATTTTATTGATTTTTTTAAAGGTAAGATTCTAAGATTTGAACACAAATTCAATATGCTGTAAGGCCCAGTGGACTGAGGATTCTGGTAGACCTCTGTTGAAGGCTTCACTTAGAGATAAGTTTGCAGTATTGTCTTATAACCTGCCACCTGACCACTTAGCTCTATTGTCTGAAGTTGAGTGAACAGGGCAATTATCTTTTGTACCTTCCAAACTTCTCTAGGTCACTGGGAGTATTAAGAAGATCATGTCTGTAAAATATTCTCATTTCCTGAGGGGAAAAAAGCCCCTATATAAATACAAAGTATTATTAGTGGTCATAAGCCTGTTACTGAACACTAAGCCAGAATATAAAAAGCAAGGATGTCTCAGCACCAACAATCATTATCTCTCCACCCCCAAACATCTTCTTCTCCATCAGCAATGCTGCAGCTTTTTCTTCTAGAGAAGGGGGTGGGTGGGGAGTGGAGGAGACATTGAGGAATTCTGAGTCTGAGAGAAAACGACAAAGAAAAAAAGAAAGGGTAGAGACAGGGGGAGGGTGGATGGCAAGGGAGGAGGGAATGGATGTGTAGAGGAAGGGGTGAGGCAAATGAAGTGCTTAGTGGTGCCTCATTACTTGGAATACACTCTGTGAGTGGCTGATATTGTCAGTCTGCTGTGTTGTGTGCATGGTATGTGTCTATGGTGCTGTGAAATTTTCCACTTGGCTGTCCTCCACATCCACCCACTGAGAATAACACTTACACATACTGAAAAGTGCCACAGCAAGGCCATTTCTCAAGGAAGCCTGGACTTTATTTTTTTTTTAAGAAAAGATCTACTCATGTCCTAATCATAAGTGTTTTGCATGCCTGAATTTCTGATATTTCTCTTTTCTTTTAAAGTGTAGCCAGGAATAGCTCTTTCTGGGCCAGTACTATCAAGTTATTTTGACTTGTGTGCCCTTGAGAGGCATACTTGAGGTGAAGGAACTCACATTAGTGGTTTTGGGGTTTAGGGATTATGAAAAACATGGAATTTTAAGTGCTAAGCTAGGGTCCTTCCCTCTACTACCCCCATGCAATCACCCCAATCACCCACAGTTGACATTCATTATTTCTTTTCCAGGATAACAAGCAGGCAGAGGACACAGGTGGGAGCTGCAGTGTCATTACCAGGGGCTTGCTAATATTTGCTACGGAGACAAGTTGCCACTTAGCTCATCAAAAACAAGAATGAATTACACTCAAACCTTATGCCTGAAATTGACACATCAAAACCAAGAATGAATTATACTCCAACTTTAGATCTGACAAAAAGCATTGACAAATGTAATTACAAATAACGAATTAAAAAATATAGCTGAGATGAAGGTGATAACTAGGGGTATAACCTAGTTCTTTCTCTCCCCTCCCTCACCCCACTTAACAGTATTTTATTTTTGCCAATTACATGTAGAGATAGTTTTCAACATTCATTCTGAAGAAGATTGAGTTCCAAATTTTTCTCCCTCCTTTCTCCCTCCCTTTCTCCCTTCTCTCATCCCCAAGACAGCAAGCAATCTGATATAGGTTATATATGTACAATCATGTTAAACATATTTCCACATTAGTCATGTTGTGAAAGAAAAATCAGGACAAAAGGGAAAAACCATGAGAAAGAAAAAATAAAAAGTGAAAATAGTATGCTTCAATCCACATTCAGACTCCATAGTTCTTTCTCTAGATGTGGATAGCATTTTCCATCATGAGTCTTTTGGAATTGTCTTTAATTATTGCATTGCTGAGAAAAGCTAGGTCAGTCACAGCTGAGCATCACACAATGTTGCTGTCACTGTGTACAATGTTCTCCTGGTTCTGTTCACTTCACTCAGCATCAGTTCATGTAAGTCTTTCCAGATAACCTAGTTCTTTCATTCACTTCTTTTCCACTTACGCTTGTGGAGGTCAGAGACTATCTTCTTATTTGCATCCCCAGTGATGCTAATGTACCAATAGGTGGAGTTGTGAACTGATCCAACAATTTTGAAGAGTAATTTGGAACTATGCCGAAAGTGCAATCAACCTTTGCATACTCTTTGATCCAAGTATCCCAAAGAGATTAAAAAGAAAAAAATACCTATTCGTATAAAAATAGAGCAGCTCTTTTGTGGTGGCTAAGAATAGGATATTTAGGGGATGCCTATCAATTAGAGAATGTCTGAACAAGTTGTGATATGACTGTAATAGAATATTATCATGCTATAAGAAATATTAAACAGGATGATTTCAGAAAAACCTGGAAAGACTTACATGAATTGATACAAAGTGAAGAAAGCAGAACCAAGGAGAACACTGTACATAGTAATAGCGATACTGTAAGATGAAGAACTGTGAATGACTTAGCTATCCTCAGCAATACAATGATCTGAGACAATCTCAAAGGACTCATGATGAAAAATGCCATCCACCTCCAGAGAAGGAACCGATTTGTCTGAATAAAGACTAAAGCGTACTATTTTTCTTTCATCTGCCTTTCCTTCTTTCTTTCTCTTTCTTTTTCTTCTAGCCTTCTTGCACAAAATGACTAATATGGAAATATTTTTCAGGATTGCACATGTATAACCTATATCAAGTTGCTTACCATCTCAGGGAGGGAAGATGGAAAGGAGGGAGGGGCAGAATTTAGAACTCAAAACTTTTAAAAATTGTTTAAATTGTTTTTACCTGTAATTGGAAAAAAATAAAATACTATGAAAAATAAAATATTTGTATCCCCAGTGCTTAGCACATTGTCTGGCACATAGTAGGTGCTTACTAATTTAATTATATTTCTATCCTATGCTACCTACTAAACTACAAGCTACATGAGGTCAGGGGCTGGTCCGTATCTTATCTGAACTTTACACCTCATCCAACATCATGTCTTGTAAAGAAAAAGTCATTTAATAAATGTTAATGATTGAATAACTGAAAGTTAGAATCAAGAAGAATGTCATTAAAATAGAAGACTTAAATGTGGACCCAGTTGCATGTAAGCCTCTGAAAAATCAACTTGGCAGTTCAAGGTTAGGTAGCTTCCCTTAGTTGACTCCTGTTTGTTCATCTTCCAATAAAAGAAATCTTTCATAATTTCTCTCCTGAACTCAGGGTTTGGCTCATTTCAACAACTATTTGTAGGAATAACTTCAATTTATATGGTGCTTCGAGATTTGTAAAGTATGTTCCTCAGTGGAAAAAAAAATTGAGGAAGTGGTTTAATTAGTATCCCTACTTTTACAGGTGAATGAACAGGTTCAGAATGGCTAAAATGACTTGCCATAGGCACACAGGTAGAAAATGTCAGATCCTTAGAGTCTAGGTTTTTTGGTGCTACACTGACAGTTTTCTTAACAAGATGAACACCCTGACCCAGCAACATAAAAGGCACTGGAAATGTTGTGTTCATCTGGACTTTCTCCACTGTCCACTCTGTTCCAGTAGTTGGCCTGACTTAATACTTCAGCCAAGGTAAATCAGTAATCCTGTCCCTCACCTTCTTTCCCTTCAGGTTCCCTAGGAGCAGCATGGGGCAGGTTCATTCATGTTTTCCCATGAATGAAGAGACCAACTTGTACCATTCTTACAGCTCATGCTAGCTTCATTGATTTCCTAATGAATATATCATTCACCATACCTTTAAACTAATTGTCATTTCAAGGGAAGTAATTATCAAAGAGAAATTAGATTTAAACTTTGTTTGAAATAAACCAATTCACTAAAAGGGAAATAAGATGGTGTGAGTCTTTATTTAAAATCACAGGAGGGAAAAAAATTCCTTACACTCCAGACTTCTAAATGTTGCATGGTCCAAGATACAGACTGAGTTTACAACTATTCACTAAGACAGTGCTGTCTGCTGATCTCCCTGGTATGAAAAGCTGGACACACAAAGAAACAGAGAATGACAGAAACAACTCTTGGAAGTAATTTGGTCCAATACCCTGTCCAAAGGCAAGCATCTTCTCCACATTAAGAACTACCTCCTCTCTCCAGAGAAGGAAATTATGCAGACCACATTCCTCTCCATTCTAAAAAGCACTTGCAGTCTGTACCAGAGACTTTAAGTGCTGATTATATTTAATTTACTTTTATCGTGTGTGCGTGTGTGCGTGTGTGTGTGTATACACATGCGTGCATGCTTATGTGTTTGTATGAACTCCCCTTCACTGATAACTCTTCAGCAATTCTATAATTTACAGTCTATAGAGTTGCCCGAGGCACTTAAAGACTTTATGGTCACGCTATTAGTGTGTGTCAAAGATGGAAACTGAATTCAGGTCTCACTGATTGTATGATTACATAGCTACCACGTTAAAAGTCCTCTCAGTGTACACTCATGTAAACACACACATACATCCGCCAAATTCTAGGATAAGAAGATACAAGTGCTTTGGTGACAAGGTCTTGGGCATGGGTCTAAGCATACAGTGGGTGATTAAAAAATATTTGTTGAACTGAAGTTACCCAAACTCCTTGAGAAACATGCTACAAGAATCTCTACTGCTATAATTTATGCCCATTTCTATCCCCCAAGATGACAACAAACCAGAGGACGTCAAGTTACCATTCTCTGAATAATAGTCCATCACATAATGGGAGTCATGTTATTTCTTAGGCTGGCCTTCTCTAGACTAAGCAATCTAAATTACTTTAAACTTTCATTTTGGAGTCTGTTTTGCAATCTTATACATATTTTAGATGTTCCCTGAGTGTGACTTCTCTGAGAAACCAAGATCTTTATTTGCTAGAAAAGTCAATTATAGAGCAGTCAATAAGTGCTTACTATATGCTAGGCACTGGTGATAAACACCTGGGATAAAAACAAAGACAAACTCAGGCTCTGTGTCCTTAAGGAGCTAACACTCTAA